TTGGAACAAACAGTTATTTTTTTATTCTTACCTCGTTTGTTATATTATTAAGGTATGCGAGATTTTCATCTAACCGCTTTCCTAAAGATGAATTCTTAAATATAATATTTGGGTACAACCACAATTTTGATATTCTTTCCATAGTCATATCCATCCCACTGAATAAAAATAAAAGTTAATAAGAAGACAAATATAAAGTTATACTATATTATATTATAAATATAATAATTTTCTTTTGATTATTACTCTGTCAGATATTTATCAAGTTTGCAGTCTGGGATATTTAGCAAATTTAGATCAGATTCCAATAGGCTATCTGTCAGTATACAAAAAAAATTTGTTATAGATTTTTACATATCTTGATATTTTWAAAATTCTAGAGTTTCCAAGACTCACCAAATATGATGTCCAACGTACATAAATGTACGTAATGARAGATATCTACGTTCTCTCCGTTACTAGTTTCTAAAATGTTTATTAGCCTTTTTGAATTTTTATTCAATGACTCCATACAATATGAAACCATTTTGGAATTGAATTTCTGATCTAGTATTCTTCGATGCATTTTCCATAATGACGCTTCAAATAAGAAAATATTTTTTACTATTTTTTCTTATTCTATTTTTTTTTTATATATTATTTAGTAAAAAATTAGGGAAAGTTATATCTTCATAAAATTATTTACACGATTGGGTGTGTAGACGTTTTATGTAAACGTAAAAAAATAAACTATTATTACCAGCAATATTTTAGAAGAAATATTTAAAACATACTTAATTATACTTTGAATTTGTGGTGGTAGTTGTTCGGTATTAATTAAAAAGGAACCATGTGAGCTTATCATTTACCTGGAGCTGTAAATAATCCATCGCCTAAGGAATATTTCATAAAGTTATATAGGACACTCTTCTCATCAATTTTTGAGCTTTTTAAAAGAATCTGAAAAATAAAATAATAAATTGATATAATTAAATACGAAATAAAGAAAAATATTATTTGATTTAATCGTTTGTAAAAAAAGTGCAGTAAATTTAAAATAAATCTTACTTCAATATTTTCAGGATCATCGAAGACTAGAATTAATTTTGATCCTATCCAGATTCGCCAAGGCGAAGAATAGATTGCGGAGTATTGTATTAATTTTTTCGTTATATCTAATGTTAAAACAGATTCATTCAATAAAAATGGTATAACTGTGTATATTAGAGATATGAAAATAAAATATACCTGTCAAATCACCAAGAAATAAATGCATATTTCCTATAAGAGGATAAGCTTTAGGGCCWGRAAATTTTCTTACCATGTTATATTCTCGAAATTTATTTATTAAATATTCAATTACGTAGAATAATAAAATAATTATTATTGTTGAAACAATAAARTATGCARTGTATTCCATGTTGAATTGAACAAAWWAGAAATAGTACAAGTTGTTTAATTCACTTAAAAATACTACTTTGCTTCTGTTTGTAAGTAAGGGATAATTACAAAAATGCTACTCAAAAGTAAGTTCCTTTATACTTCGCGTYTTTACAGAAACTMAWGATRAGTAAACGAGCTTGAGCGTATTTATAAGATACCAAGACTGCTCTTTGTCCATATTTTTATAATACTTTCAATACGTAAGAGTGATATGTTATTTTAATTAACAATAAGAAGCT